CCTTCGGGGGATGTCCACCTGCCCCGTGGGTAGCGGACCTAAGCCAGCAGGCAGACATCCCCCGAGGGCTCCCAGACTGCGAGAGGGCGCAGGCCGGGCTGAGGACCCCTCCACCCCCCGCATGAATGTTGTGCGCCGGGCCTCTAGTATACTGCATAAAAGGGAAAACTCTTCAGAGAAAAACTAACCCACATTCTTTCCCAGATCCTACACCATCTCCTTCTCTACTTCGGAGTCACTAATGTCTCTTCTCTTACTTTGCTTCCAGCTACTGTAATATGAGACTGCTTGTTAACTCCACCAACCATGTAGGTCACCAATGCCACTTATTTTCTTGATGTAGTGGGTAGTTTCAATCCACTACTACCATGAATCCACTGATGTTCTTCAGAGAACATTTATTTTCTTAAATACACTCTCATCTCTTTTCACTCTTGTTATCCTGCTAATGTATGGCCAACATACCTCTGATTGCTTTGTAGCTCTTCTCTTCCTTCCCATTAAACATGGAAGGGCCTCAGAATCAAGTTGAAGCCTCTTACTCCACACTGCCTCCCCACATGGCCACCTACGTTCCTGGCTTACAATGGCCACACATGTAACTCCACCCATTGAATTCCTAGTAAATTGCAAACTCACATATCCAACTGACAATGGACATTTGCATTTGGATGTCAACCAAGCCACTGTAGAGCATATCTACTGCTTTACATTGTCTTTCCTGACATTCTTCACTCTAGCGGCTGGTGAAAGAATTCATTTGCTTTTCCTTCTCCTCAATATAGCATTTAACATCACTGATATTAATTTTAATTATTGTTCTTTTGTGTTTTTCCCCCCACAAAATTCAAAGATACCAGAGAACAGGACTTGGGACATTCAAGTTGCAAGAGCAGTGGCGTAATTTTCAGCCTTTGCCTAGCCGGCAGTGATGGCGAACCTTTTGAGCTCGGCCTGTCAGCATTTTGAAAAACCCTAACTTAACTCTGGTGCTGTGTCACATATAGAAATTTTTTGATATTTGCAACCATAGTAAAACAAAGATTTATAGTTTTGATATTTATTTTTTATATTTAAATGCTATTTAACAAAGAAAAATCAACCAAAAAAAATGAGTTCGTGTGTCACCTCTGACACGCGTGCCATAGGTTCGCCATCACTGGCTAGCCTTATAATAAACTCACATGTATGTTCTCATCTCTAATTGGCTCTCCACTTTGTCATTAGAAAAACAACTGGCCCGGTGTCAGATACAGAGTCACAAATCTAAACTCGAGCTCTCTCTGATTCATACAGCTCATAGCAATGAGACAATGGACCACATTACTTTCTGGTGCATCTTTCCTGAAGTGGCAATTACCTACCTTTATGCTGAGATTCTTTGGCAACTCCCTCACAAAGAATGATGAGTGATCATTTGCTTCCTGTTTTCTCCATACATTTCTGTGGGGTAGTGATTCCATTTTACTTTGAATTCCAACATTTGGCATGTAATTAGAGCATTTCTTTGGGTCACAAAGCAATAGTTTAGGTCCTGAGTCTTTTGTCTGCTTTTATTTAACTCCAAACCTGCTCATCCTTCTATATTTTCTAAGCATTGCTATATTCTCTCTTCTAGATGTCAGGTACATAGGCTTAAAGCTTAGGACCTGCTATAGTCTGAAAGTTTGTGTCCGCATGAAATTCATATGTTAAAGTCTTAACCCCCAAAGTGGTGGTATAATGAGGTGGGGCCTTTTGGAAATACTTAGAACATGAATGTGGAGAACCTCATGAATGGAGTTAGTGCCCTCATAGAAGAGGCCTGTGATGGGTCCCTCAGACGTCGGCCGTGGGAGGATAAAGGAGGAAGTCAGAGGTGTGCGACCCAGATGCAGGCTCTCATCAGAAACTAACCATGCTGACACCCTGATGTGAATTCCAGCCTCTACAACTGTGAGCAAAAGAGTTCTGTTTTTACAAGCTGCTCAGTCTTTGCTATTTTGTTAAAGAAGCCCAAATGAACTAAGCTATGACAGGAAATATTTCCTCCTAAAAGATCGCCCAGATTCGGTGAAATACCCAAGGAGAAAGAAATCACTTTATCCCTCCTTATTTCCTATCTAGTCCAGTCCCTATCATATCAGGAGCTCAGTCAATGTTCATGAAAAGGATAATCATGGTAATAATATGAGAAAGGATAATATCAACATATAATTCATATCTATGTTCATGTAACTCATGTCTAGGAGAGCACAATAGAGCTAAAGTTATTTTGTAAATACTTCATGGTTCTACAAGGGAAATTATGATTGAATCTGGTGTGAGCTGCTATTTTACAAAATAGCTCATTTGGTTGTGGGATATTTTCTCCAATATATATTTTCGGTATTTAGAATATCAGGATGAGAATCCTGGGCCTGGTCATAAAGGAAGACCCATTCATTATTACTTCCCTTAAAACCTGCAAGGGGTTGCCCACACATACTTATTTCCCTCAGGTGATGAAGAAACAACTTGGAATTTGCCATGTGCCTTGAGACCTCAACTAAGCATATGTGGCCATTTTCCAACTTTCGTCTTTACTTCTGGGAATCAACCTGAATGCTTCTTTCAAAAGGTCAATGATGCTGGGAACTCTAACCATCGACACCCATGCCTTCTCCCCCAGGTCTTAATTTCTGCAGTCACTTGCAGTGTTCTTCTTGATTTTGATTAACAAGAACATTGGTTATTTTTTTCACCAAAAAATCTTTAGTGCAAATAGGATAAAGATAAAGAGTAGTTTTATTCAATAAAGTTATGTCCTGTTCCATTGATTAGCAGATTAGAGCCAATTTCTCAATTTCTTTGCACTTAAGTGCATCACCAGAGAAGAGGTGCAGACCAACTAATGGAGCATAAGTGATATTGCCTTGTGCACTCCTGGCCTTAAAAATACTCCATGTGATCTACCCTAATTTCCTTCTGTACAACTGGGTAGAATAGACTGGAGTTCCCAGAGAAATTTGGATGCTTTGGAAGTACTTCCGGACGAGAATTCCCAAATTGGGACAAGCCCCATTTTCCTCTTCTCTCTGCTGCAGGTGCTTGAAAAAAGGGTGCATTTTGGGAAAGGCCGCTTTGGGGAAAGGCTGCACTTTGGAAAGGTCTGCGTTGTGAAATGGCTGTATTATAGGGGAGACACCGCTTTTAGGGAAATGCAGACTTGGCAGCCTTCTTTCTGTATCAGGCCAATCTCAGAGTAGGAAAGTGGTCAAGGACACACCAAGCAACGTTCTGCTGCTTTTATAGTGAATGAACCAACTTCCATTTGAAACGGAATTTTTGGACTGGAACCCAGATTCTTTGTCCGCCAGAAACGAAGATTGAATCCACGGACCAAAGGTGGTATAGCAAAGGTGGAGATTTATTAAAGAACAAGTACAGACTCCCAGGTGGGGAGGGGAAAAGGTCCCACTGAGTTCCTTTTCCCTAAGGCTTATAAAGGCTGCAGATCCTGGTGCCTTGATATCCCCTCTGATTGGCCACTATGCCCTTGGACTGGTTACTATAATAACTCCTGGGCTCGAAAGTTGAACCTCACATGGGACATGTGAGGTCCCCCCCTTCCTTATTGTTTTCCTGTTCCCCCTGGGCTTTCTTCTTCTTCTGGATGAAGGGCTTCCTTCTTTTTATTTTGTAAATATAGACCTATTGCTGTTCCCAGCTCCCTCATTCTATGGAAATGTACCTGTTGCAGCTTTTCAGCTCCCCTATCATATGGAAATATACCTTCTGCTGCTCTGCAGCCCTCTGCTTCCAACACGGCCCCTTTAATTTCCAAAAATTTTAAAATTTCCTAAACCTGTAGTATTTTACCCTTAAATTTCCTCTTTCACATTCAGCAGCAATGGTTGAGGAAGAAGGAGTCACAGGAAGGCGGTCAGGGGGACTTTTCTGAGGCTGCGTTTTGGGAAAGGCTGCATTTGGGGAAAGTTTGCCTTTTGGAAAGGCTATCATGGGATAGGCTGCCATTGGAAAAAGGCTGGGCTTTGGACACACTGCCATTGTGAGGGCTGCGTTTTGAAAAGG